TGCTTCGGCAGCTCAGGTGTTGGCTGCCTTGTTGAAGTTGTTTGTGCCGATTCTGAAGGATGCGGTCTCTCTGTTCTTTGCTTCTCGTTTCGAATGCTGGCAGGTGGTGCTCATCCACTCTTTGGAATCGGCTTGGGCCGTTTGGGCCCCTGGCTCTTAGATTTTTGTCCGTTGCTGTTTGCATAGTCTGCAATGGGCCTTTTCTGCAGGCAGTGTCGTCTAATTGCCGGTCTATGTCGGACTTGTTGGTTCTCTGGGTGAGGGAGGGGGTGTGGTGGTCCTGCCTGGAAGGGTCGTGCCAGGTCTTGGGTTTCCTTTGGTCGTCGTAAGCCAGTAGTGACAGATTCGGGACCAGCCCGTCCTGCAGAGCCATCAGCGTCTGGTTGGCACAGTTATTTCTCTGAGTGTCGGTCGGGCTCTCATAGGGGGTCGTCGGCCCTTTTGCGGTTCACCCGTTGACGGGGCAATAAGGGGTAGGCTTGCACTGTTTACTCTCACCTGGTCCCATAGTTCGTGGGCATTTCCTGCAGCCTGTGGTGGCGTTGGGTCGTTCCTCCTCCTTCGGGGGGATCGGGGCTGGCAGGGCAGGCCACTTTCCCTGTGCTCTGTCGGGTCATCCTGGAGTGGATTTGCTTGGGCGTGGTCGAAACGACAGCGTCTCTCAGGTGGGTTTCGTACCCGTTTTCAGTTCCGAAATGGGATTGTGCAAATCTGTGATTCATACTGGACTTGTCCCGTCTGAACCCCTGGGTCTTTTGCTCCTCCTTTTGGATGACCACTCTGTCTCAGATCCGGCTGCTTTTGGCGCCGGGTGCCTGGATGGTGTATCTGGACCTCCGGGACACATATTGGCATGTCCTGATTCATCTGGGGTTCAGGGACTGGCTCAGTTTTGTCGCGGGGGCGACAGGCTTACCACTTTCATTTCCTTTCATTCGGTTTGAATCTGGCACCTCACGTGTTCACACACCTTACCCGGGTCGTGGTGACCTGTTTGCATCTGTTAGGGGTTCGGGTTCTGGCTTACCTCGATAACCGGCTGGTCTGTGCTCCCCACCAGTCCTGGTGTCTAGTTGCTAGGGATTTGGTTCTTTCCCAGTTTGCTGGGTTCGGGTTCTTGGTGAACTGGAGGAAGTCCCATTTGGTTCCTTCTCAGGTTCAGACTTGGCTGGATCTTGTGTTGGACTCTCGGACCGCCCTCCAGCAGCATTGCTGCAGCTGCAGTCCCACCTTCGGCTGTTTTTGGAGGGCAACAGGGTCACTTGTCAGTTGTTCGAGCAGCTGTGCGAGAGTCTGACGTTTGCTGCGAGTCTTTCTGTGTGGTCGGATCTGGCTTCGGTGGTTGTTCTGGTTCCTTCGGGGATGTTGCTTCTGCCGCTCTCACCATCACTGGGTTCAGATCCCGGGGGCCTTGCGTCGGCTGCTGTGTCACCAGCTTCCTCTTCAGGTTTTCCAGGGTTCAGTTCAATAAAGTAAAAGAAAATCCTCTCGAGGACAACGTACCCAGAAGAAACAGAGCCGGCCACTTTTATAGGTGAAAACTAGATGCACAGTACCCCTTCCCCCTATCAGTGCAAAAACTACCACTTACCTCGAGGTAAACAATTGTGAAAACCTCCCAAAACAATCGGGGCGGTCAATTGCCAAGCATCAAAAGACCAACAGAGGTAGATCCAAGGTGACTCATGGAAGAGAACCCCAAGCCCCAAGGGCAGTACTTACAGGGCTCTTAGGGAAGGGAACCCTAAGCGCATGTAGCCTGAGTACTTAGGAATATTACTCCCAGCTCACACGCCACCATAAAAGCAGTACTGAACCAACGCACAGCATAACACAAGAGTCTGGAGCTGGAGCCTCTCGACCTTTGTGCCTCACACCAGCCGAAGAACTGAGGTGTGGATCGCCAGTGCGGGGGTCTGCGGCGGCTCGTTCCCCAGGAGGGGAAAGGAGGAGCTGTGCAAGCATTCGGCGCTGCTCGTGTGTTGTCATGCTTGTTTGCTGGTTTTCATTTGGGGAGTTCTGTCCACTTCTTTGTCTATTTTTGTCGTTTCTAACCAGAATAGAGGTTTGTTTTGGGGCGCTTACTTTCTGGGTGCCTGTCTCGGTCGATGGCAGATATAGAATCCTCCAAAATCGCATGTCCATTTCTATAGACCATTGCTCCTCGTGCCTCTGAGGGGGCCAGGTTTTGGCTGTGGTCCCCGGTAGGCAGAATCTCCATGCACATTGACTGATGCCAGAAAGTTACACATATCCATAACAGCCTGGATACGGGCTATCCAGGAGCCTATGGGACTCGCCCAGAAAATGGCTTTCATAACATTCAACGCTGCTTTTTTTTTTCTCTCTCTCCCGTGCCTGTGGGTGTTGAAGGCCATATAGCCCAGAGCAGTTTGATTAAAAAATTAATGCACTTTTACTACATTGAACAGCTTATGCAAAAAAATTGCATGTGTGCAATAATTTAAATTGAAAATTATTTGTATTTTGTACTGTACTACATTGTGCTTATTTTTTTTGTTTGTTAGAATTTCCTATTAACATAATGATTTAAAGAAAAAAATTTATTATTTTAGTAAGCTGAGCAAGACTGCTGAGACTAAGGAATATTATTGTGATTGCTTCTATGTTACTGAACATAAGGAATGAAGGCAATTTCTGAAATCACATTTAGTAGCCCCCTTCAAAAAATCTGCTGTATCAATAGACCAGTCATGTAGTTTAAAACTCTAGCTCTGGCTCCTCAGGGAAGATTTAGGTTTCAACTGCAGGGTCGTACAAGGTGCCAAGGGATCACTGTGGCGGCTTTTCATGTTCAACAGCAGTTGAGTTTTGGTGGCATCTTTGCCAGGTGTTTTTGTTAGTGGTGGCAAGGGGGCAGTCTTTTCCAGGGTTCAGTCCTGGTCATTTCCATTTAGTTAGCCCTTCAGTGGTGACCTTTTTTACATGTTATGCCTCTTTAACAGTGCTGTCTCGTTTAGTTTTTTCAGTCCATGGCTGGTCTCTCCTCAATGACCCCATTTGGTCTTTGCAAGTGAGTCGAACACTTTGCAGTTCGCTTTTCTTTCCATTCGCGATGAATTCCTCTTCTGTTTCCATCCCACTTCATTCTCTCCATCCCTGTGATTCACGTTTATTTTTTTCTCTGCTTGATTGCTTGACCTTCAAGGTTTTTCTCATGCCTCATGAGCAGCCGAGTTTTTAGTTGTTTTCATCGAGACATTCTTGTTCGTCAGCTTAGGGGTTTTCTTTTCATCTTCCGGATCTTTTGTCTTTTGACTCGGGGCATTGGTTCACATTTTCTGTGTTGCACTTCAGATTTCAGCCTTTCTCAAAGACTGGCTGGTTTGGGAGTTCAGCTGGTCTGTGATGGCATGCCAGGGTTCTAGTCCTCCCAGGGGTTTTTCCAGGCTTTTGAGGGCTTTTATCCCCCTCCCACTTATTAAGTTCAATGGTTCTGGGTTTGGCATCCTCTACTCCACATGAGCTTCGTTGGGTGTGCCCCTTTCTTCAGGGAAAGGGGGGAGTCCTAGTCATTTACAATCCCATTGTCTAGCTTTGGCAGGCCTACCTTTTCATGTTTCTGCACCTTCCCTTTCTGACCTTTCTCCCTGGTGGCCTGTTTTCACTTGGGGTTTTCAGGGGCTTTGCATGTGGTGTCCCTGGCCCTTTCAGTTGTATCCTGACTCGTTACTGCTTTCCAGTGTTTCCAGAACAGATCATGGTTTTCATGTGGAGCTTCTGATTTGCCCCTTCGATATTCTTCCCCTCATTCTTGCATTTGTCTCCTCAGTTGTTCTCTGGTCATCATGGGCTTTGTGGGCTGGCTTCTTCCTTTCGAGGTTTGGTCTAAACCGATCTCGTCGACTGGCTGGTTTTGTCTTTGGGTTAGTCTGTGAGCCAGGAATCTAGTTTTTTCCCTGCTTGTCAGGTTTGGGTTCCTGGTGGCGTGGCAAAAGTTCTAGTGTTTTCCATCCTGGGGGTCTGGATTATGTTTGGTTTTCCTGATTGGATTCTCCTTTTCTATATATGGCAGCTCTCTCCTCCACTCACTGCAGCATTGCAATTTGATGTTGGGCTTGCCAAGAATGGCTCGGCAGCTATGCAAGTGTCTGCTCTTTGCCTACAGGGTGGTTTCCATGGATCTAGTGAGGCTCGGGGAACTTTCCTGGTTTGTCTGATTCTGCCCATTTAATACCTTCTTGGGTCAACATGCTTGGGCCCCATTTGTTATTTGTCAGCTCTTGTTGCACTCTCTTCCTCTTCATGCTTTCCACAGTTCAGTTCTGTCGTGCCCTCTTTCATAACCCGTCAGTTGTTCACTGATGCCTTGGCTTTGGGTTGGATTTTTGTGCTTATTGCCTCACCTCTCCTCTTCTCCCAAGGTCATTGGTCAGGGCCACTTCTTCGGGTGGAGTGCTTAATGTGTGAGCTGCTTCAGTGTGGCTGGATCTTTTTGGGGGGGGGGGGGGGCGGGAGGAGGTCTTCTTCCTCTGGGCTTTGCTCCCTGGTGGTTCGTATGCCTTTCCCTAACCTTTAGGGTAGACTGTTTAGGTTAGATAAAGTAAAGTTAGGTTATGTTATTAAGGTTTGGTTAAGGTTTAGGTTAGACTATGAGTTAAAATAATGTAGCTGAAGACATGATGACCAAACCACACACCAAGTGATGAGAAGACAATGTTTTGGTTTGTCCCGGACCATTATCAAGTCGATTTATATTTTCACAATCGACTTGATAATGGTCCAGAGTGGACCAAAACGTCGTCGTCTTTTCATCTTTTGGTGTGTGGTTTGGTCATCAGGTTTAGGTTAGGATAGGTTTAGGTTACGTTAAGGTTAGATTAGAATGTTATCCTGCTTTGATTATTGTAATCTTGTTCAGGAGGATATTTAGTGAGTTTACCTTAAAGCTTGGTACAGTATTTTATATTCATGCTCTGAAAATTTTATACTTTTAGTTTTCGATATGAAAATGTATTTACATTTATTATAATTTTCAGTCTTCGACAGCAGCAAAATGAGCCAGTACAATGCTCTTTGGTGTGATGCTACAACATTGGCACCATATTCAGAGGAGACTTCTTATGAAAATTCAATGCTTGTACAACAGTCAGGATCTTTGGCACTGTCATCATTAATTCATGTCTTTAGGTTTGTATTTTCCTTTTATTTTTCCAAATGTGATTAATGTGCTAACACAACATTTGCAAGTTAGGTGTAAGTAGAAAGAAACGGTCTTTTTAATTTCCTTATTTCTGAGCACTCATTTCCTGATCCATCTCTCCAACCCAAACAGGGGTTGAGTTATCTTGTAGTCCAGCTACCCACATGATTATCTGGAATAAAGGTGCTCTAATTGTCAACACCATCACAAAAAGAGCCTTGTCCAAGTGCAAAGGATTAAAACTAATAAAAAAAAAGACTTAAAACATCTGCCCAAGACAAAAGAATACATGTACTTGAAATACAGTATCAAGGTACCACCTTGATATTTGAGTTGTGCCTCAGTTTCGGCACAATTGTTATATAAATGTGGCCTCCACAAGACACAATGAGACTTGGATACATTTTTAAATAGGGTCTCTAACACAATTCACACTGTTTAATCTCACTGGGGTAATGAAAAGACATGGGGTCATATCGCTGCCGTTGAATCTCACTGGGGTAACAAAAAATCATGGGGCCATATCGCTGCCGTCGGAAAAAGCAAAACGACAGCGGCTCCCTAACAACTCCTTAACCCTAGCTCTCACCACATTATGAAGTACAGTATCTTTATTCATTGAAAACCTTTTAACTTCTTAAATTCTGTAATTATTCTGATTTCAGATCACTGACTCCAAATGCCAAAGGAATATTCCTGCTGCTAGCTAAACATCAGCTTGATCAGAAGGATAACTCCAGCTATATAGGTTAGTTTTTAGTGTAAATTTATTTCACTGAACTTCTTGGATGTTTTTGAAAATTGTTGATTAATTAGAAATAATCATGGTTGCTAACTGAAGATGTTCTCAGTGTGGAAACTGAAAGTTAAGTACAATACTGTTAAGTTGGTCCTAGTTTATCCACAAAGGCTAGGACCACTGATTACTTCAGGTATATTATTTTTTTCTCTGTATGAACATCATCATTTACATAAAGTTCTGTATTACATTACTGATGTTTATTTGCTTAAAATGTGGTACTCTGACAAACAGGAATTGATATTAATGTACATAAGTACTGTATACTAGACACTGGGGTGACCCAGAAGCCAGAGATGATAGCTTAGAGTACTTTTTTATATAATTGTGTAAGTGACGGATCTTTCCTCCTGACATTTTGTTCCATTACATTGTCTAATTGTTAATATTTAGTAAAATTCATGAATTTTTATATAAATATGGAAATAACTGTGTAATAAAAATGAAAATAATTTCTGCTAATCAGCTGTTCAATAAGAGCATGGAGCTGGTGTAAAAAATCCAGCATTTGAATGTAATGAAACACCTCTTTATGGCAAAGCCCCAGTGGCTTCTGGTAGCTATCTCACCAAGATTCCTACAGTCTACCAGTTATATCAAATGCATGAGTTCATTTGGCCTAAGAGGGGGCTAGTGTCAAATTCTGGTTTTCCCTCACAGGAGGCACAAGGAGCAAATGACATTTTGCAATTTCATCAGGAAAGCATCCAGAAAGTCAGTGAAGCTTTACAGTCAACTGCTGGGTTCACAAGGCTCAAAAGCAACTAAACTGGTATATAACTCCCTAAACAAAACAAAGTAAACAAAACACAAAATTAGCTATAACCTGTTAGTACCAAATGTCGTTAAAAGGTAGCCTGAAGATCGGTTCAGCATCAGCTATCAGATCACTTCAGGAGAAGATAAAACACTGCAACATACCAACAAACATATAAGGGAGACAGGGAACCAGCAGGACACTACTAGAAAGAGGCGTTTCATTACATTCCAATGCTGGGTTTCTGGGGTAGGCCCATGGTGGCTTCCTATAGCTAAATAACCACAGAAAATTTTGAGGGATTTACCAAAGAGGAGACACAGCTGGCATTTAATCAAAGTAGAAGCCAATGGCTGGGAAACGTGACCCATGTCAGCATAACAGCAGCAAACCATGGCAGCAGCAGCAAACATAGGGAGCTAACCTTGTCATATTGGTTACTGGTTTCACCTTGAATACTGGAAAGAATTGGTCAACATGATATATATAGGAACATTATATTTCATTAAACTGGCCCCTTGACAGCAAGTGTTACCAAGTCATCTACCATTATTATCCTCTCAACATAATTATCCTCAACATAATTAATAATTTGGTTGACAACAATAGAATTAAGGAAACAACCTTAAATGTCTGTTCGACAATGTTAGCACCTTTTTTGTGGAGAACCCCTCCAGCTCCCCAGTGCTTACCAGGCTGATATGTATCATGGCATCAGTCAATTCGATTGGAGTTCTAGCCTATCGGGGACCAAGACAGAACCTGGCCCCACCTCAGAGAGGCATAAGGAGCAGTGGCCTAAAGACACCCCCGTGTGGTTGGAAGCAGTCTGTCTGACATCTACCGGATTAGGCATCCCAAAACAAACTACAGTTGGTTAAAAAGTGTGGCTGAAAGCCGAACTAGCAAGCAGAATTACCCAAACCGAAAACAACCAAAGAAGCATGACGTCACCATCTGAGCAGCTCCCCACTCCCTGGGGGGAAAAGGGGAAGTTTATTCTGGACTTGTCTCATCTGAACCCCTGAAGCCCCTCCTTACGGATGACTACTGTCCCATGTCCTGCTTCTGTTGGAGCTAGATGCTTGGATGGTGTCTGTGGACCACCGGGACGCATATTGCCACTTCCCAATTCCTCCGGGGTTCAGGGATTGGCTTGGTTTTGTGGTGGGGCAGCAAGCTTGGCCAATTTCGTTGCCTTCCATTCGGCTTGAATCAGACTCCTCGCATTTTCTCCAGTCATACCCGGGTTGTGGTGGGCTGTTTGCGTCTGCTAGGGTTTCGGGTTTTGTCCTACCTCAACGACTGGCTGGTTTGGGCTTCCAGTCGGTCCGTGTGTTTGCTCGCCAGGGATTTGTTTCTTTCCCAATTCACCGGGTTCGAGTTCTTTGTGAACTGGAGGAAGTCCCATTTGACTCCCTCTCGGGTTCGGACTTGGCTGGATCTTGTGTGGGACTCTCGAACCGCTTCCTTATCATTTCCTCCATCAGCACTACTGCGACTGCATTGCCGCCTTCATCTGTTTTTGGAGGGCACCAGGGTCACTCGTCGGTTGTTCAAGCAGCTGTGTGAGAGTCTGAACTTTGCTGAGATTCTACCCATCTGGTCGGATCTAGTTTCTTCGGGGATATCCCTTCCGCCGCTCTCGCCATTACTGGGTTTGGATCCCGGGGGCCTTGCGTCATTTGCTGCGTTGCCAGCTTCCTCTTTGGGTTTTCCGGGGTTCAGTGCCATGGTGCCTGCCTACCCAACCCCTCTCTTGATGTGTTCACGGATACGTCGTCTCTCGGCTGGGGCTTGTGCTCGAGCTGAGTGTCCTCACCAGGCTGGGCAGGGTCGGTGGGGTCCGCGGAGTTCACAGCGGTGTGGCTTTCGCTTCAGAGAGTTCGGGTCGCTCACAGACTGATGATCCAGCTTCATTCAGACTGCTCCCCAGTGGCCTATTGCCTGAACCGCGGGGTTCAATGCATTCCTTGCTCTTTGGGGCTGGTCGCTTCGGGTGATTCGTCTGCTGGATTCTCAGGGTTTGGCTTTCCAGGCAGTTCATATCTGAGGGATGTCCATCGTCCTGGCGGAGGGCCTGTCCCAGTTCCGTCCCCTGTCCACAGAATGGACAGTCATCACCGATTACTTCAGTTGGCTTTGCTGGACGTACGGGCGCCTGGAGGTGGACCTCCTCGCATCAGCGTGGTCGAGGCCTCGACCACGAGGTGCCGACCATGTGACTCCCTTCCCCAACTGCAAGGCCGTCGGGGTCGATGCCTTTCTGCAGGACTGGTCGAGGTGGGGTTACCTGTACTTCTTTGCCCCGGTCTGGCTGTTGCTTCAAATTCTGGCTCGTTTGGAGACTTGCCAAGGGATATTAGTCCTGTTCTCTCCTTTGTGGCCAGCCCAGCCGTGGTTTGAGGCGCTGCTTGCTCAATGTCCGAACCTGGGAGGTTTTCTGCGGCTTTACCTCTTTTAGCAGATCGGTCCGGTCCGATACGTGGCTGGTTCGAGCTTATCCTCCGTTCTTTGTGTCTGGTATTTCTGACGCTGGTTTATCACCACCTTGGCTTTGTTGATGGTGTCCCACCTGCATGTCGCATCTTGGCGGCAATATGAAGTTTCCTGGCGGTCCTTTCGTCACTTTTTGGCTCTTCGTAGGTTATCTTCAATTTCGGATCGGGTTTTTTGTCCTTTCTCTCTTGGCTGCTTCAGGACCCGTCATCTTATGCCAAATACTGTCGCTTCGAATCGTGCGGTGCTGTTAGAGCCACTTCAGCTTGTGTTTGGGGTGGATGTTACCTCTGATCCATTCCGCAAGTTTTCTCATTCGATGAGAAATGGTGGTGGTCGGTTTGTTCGTTGCAGCCGTCTCCTTCTTTTCTGCCGGAGAATGAGACTGCTGGAGGGGTCCTTGGGTTGTTGATGCTTGGTTGGTTTGGCCGGGAGTGCATTATTTCCAGCCAGAGGCTTACGGCTCGTACAGGAATATCCCTGCAAAAAAAAATGTATTGCGTCCAGTTGTGGCTCTTCGTTGTTACTTTCGTGTCACAGCCTCGGTGGCTGGGGATGAGCTTTGAGTGGACCCGGATTCCCTTTTTCCCTGTTCCAGGGTATGGGTCTCCCAGGTCGTCGGCAGGGTTATTTGGTCAAACCAGCCTGCGGTCTATTCCTGGGCCCACAACGTTCGTAAGTTTGCTGTCTTTGGTAATGTCTTGGGCTGACATTCGGGCGTGGGGCTTTTGGCAGTCGAACAGGGTCCTGGTCGCACCGTACCTTGTTAATGTTCCTGGCCCTACTTGGGCATGTGTAGTCTTGGGTCACAGGTTACAGCCAGTTGTCTTGACTTCGAGTTGAGGAGCGAGTGGTGACTGCCTCCCGGATAACTCCCTCTTTTTTTTTTTTTTTTTCTTTCTCTTCTTCTTTGGTTAGGTAGCTGTGGGGAGCCAGAGAGGCTCCCCACAGAAAACCAGTGTTGAATGTAATTAAACGCCATTTTCTGGGTGAGTTTTCCGGTGGCTTTTTTGGAACCTCTCCAGAAACCCTCCCTCCCTCCAGTCGGCGGTTTTTGCAGTTTTGACATTCGACCTCTGAACTGGGGTTGGATAGCTGGGACGGGGGTTTTGGGGCTCCCTTTCCCCTCCCAGGGAGGGGGAAGCTGCGCAGACGGCAGTGCGGCCGCGATGGTGACATCGTGCTTGTTTGTTTGTTTTCAGTTTGAGGAGTTCTGATTGCTAGTTCGGCTTTCAATCACAATTTTTAACCAGCTGTAGTTTGTTTTGGGACGCCTACCTTTCTGGGTGCCAAGAAAGGAGAAAAGAAAGCACCCGGTCCAACGACTAGAACTGCTCGGGTGGAGCATGTGCAGACGCGAGTTAAAACATCGCATGAAAAAGCTTCCGGAACGAAGCAGAAGTGACATCCACCCTGAACGCAAGCTGAAGCGGCTCTAACAGTGCTGCACGATACAAGGCGACAGTATTCGGCATAAGATGACAGTCCTGAAACGGCCAAGAGAGAGAGGACAAAAAACCCGATCCGAAATCAAAGACAAGCTACGAAGATCCAAAAAGTGACGAAAGGACCGCCAGGAAACTTCATACTGCCGTCAAGATGAGGCATGCAGGTGGGACACCATCATCGAAGCAACCTGATCACCATACAGATGGTGCCCAAACCCCCCTGCAGTTTTCAAAATATCTGAAATGTCGGAAATTGACTCCTAGGTGTCATTTTTGAGGTGATAAACCCGCCTCAGAAATACCAGACACGAAGAACAGAGGATAAGTTCGAACCAGCCATGTACCAGACCGGATCAATTTGCTAAATGAGGCAAACCTGATAGATGGCAGATATAGACTACAAGTACTTCCAACCACATGGGGGTGTCTATAGGCCATTGCTTCTCTTGCTTCCCTTAGGGGGGGGGGGGGGGCCAGGTTCTGGCTTGTGGTCTCTGATAGGGTAGAACATCAATCGAATTGACTGATACCACAGTCTAATACATACATATCAGCCCGGTATGCTCCGGAGAGCCTCTGGGACTCGCCCAGAAAATGACGTTTCATTACATTCAACGCTGGTTTTTATCAGTAAGTATACTCGAATCTTGAGCCTTTTTTTGATAGCTTGTTAGTTTTGTAACCAAATATTTTACTGCAAGCAAATTACTCAGTCATTCCTATTATCTTATTTGCAGGTCTCTCCTTTAATGACATGTACCAACGCTGCCGGGAAACATTTTTGGTTAATTCTGATCTAACTCTTCGTGCTCAACTAACTGAATTCAGAGATCACAAGCTTATACGCTCCAAAAAGGGACTGGATGGAGTTGAAAATCTTCTCATTCCACTAGATGCAGCCACATTAAATGATTTTATAAGTCAACAAGAATTGGATAACCTTTCTTAATTTAATTAAATTTTAATTTAAATTATTATGCTTATGTTATTGGCATGGGTTTTGCTTGCATTTTATTAACTTTTTATGTTAGATTAACCACATTTCTGAGTGGAGCCTTTTGTGGCTTCCTGAGGCTACTATCACTGATAGTGTACCATCTACTAGGTCGCATCGGCCGTGGAGTTCTATTGGCCTACTGGCGACCAGCGCCAGAACCTGGCCCCCTTCACAGAGGCACAGAGAGCAGTGGCATTTATTTATGTATGCCATCATCTGAAAAGTAACCAGAAAGTCAGACACACAAAACAGACCATTATTGGATTCGATCAAGGCTGCAAGCTCAAGAAACAACTGTAGAACTCCCCCCAACTATATAAACAAATGATTGAAATCTCTTGAAACTAATGCAAGCTCTTTTGCCCCACCTCTCCCACTCTTGGGGGACAGCTCATAGTCAGCCTCAGTCTCCACCCTCAGTTCTATGCTAATGTAGTGTGTGCTGGGCCGCCTCTTTCTGCTCTAGCTCCAGTGTTCTGCTTATCAGCTAAGTAGTGGTTTTTTGCCACTGTGATGGTGTAACATGAAATAGAAGGTAAGCATGCTTGGAGCTTGATCATTCATTGATGGGGTTACCTTGAGGTTACCTTGATGGTTTCGGGTCTTAGCGTCCGCACAACCCGGTCTTCGACCAGGTCTCCTCTTTGCTGGACTGGTCAATCAGGCTGTTGGAGGCAGCTGCCCACAGCCTAGTTGATCAGGTATCCTTTGGAGGTGCTTATCAAGTTCTCTCTTGAACACTGAGGGGGGTCGGCCATTCATGTCCCTTATGTGTAGTGGAAGTGTGTTGAACCGTCTCGGGCCTCTGATGATGATGATGATGATAGAGTTCTCTCTGAGTACGTATTGCACCTCTGTTAAACTGTTTTCAGCCACAACCCTAGGATGACTAGAATGATTTTTTTAGCAAGAGGAGGAGGAGAAGAATGGCTAGAAATGTCCAGATTCTACCACCAACTTGGTCAAATAATAGAAAGAACACAAACACAGTGGCCTCCCTACCAGGGACTCTGATATTAACACCAAGTAAAGCACCCAGCACTTCCACAAACACGATAACATCATTTATATTTTCCAACATCCAGGGTATAGAAACACGCAAATCTAACAAAAGTTCATTTTATAGATGGCTTCCTACATGATTTAAAGGCAGCGTTTGAAGCTCTAATGGAAACCCACACAAAGGACTACACGTACCATGATGGTGAAATATGGATCTCCGAGTACAATATTTTTAGATGTGACAGGAAATGCAGGCTGCAGGATGGGATGAGCCTGTACATTAAAGACAAAAGACACACTCATCTGTACTGAGCTTCTAAACACCACAAACATTATAGTGTAAGTGCTTATAATCAAAATAGAGGTCCTAAATGTAGTTATTGTCTTGTATAGTATATACATCACCAGAGATAAATCCTCGGCAGTTTCTAGAACAACTAATGAAAATAGAACACTGCTTGGAAAACCTCGCAAATCCAGCCCCAAACATCATTCTGCTTGGGGACTTTAACGTACTGCACCTGAAATGGAAGCACCTAGCTAATAGTTATATCAGAGAAAATACCAGGGAGAAGCCTAAATGAATAAGCACATGCAAATGACCTGATACAGATGTGCGACAGATTTGCCTTAAACCAGCAAATAGTAGAACCCACTAGAAAAGAGAACATGTTGGACCTCATTTTCACTAATAATGATAAATTGATCAGGAACATAATGATTACAAATACCTGTTACTCACATCACAATCTAATTGAAGTTTTGTCCTTTCTCTTGTGGCTGTTTCTGTACCATCATCTTATGCTACGTACTGTCGCCTCCTATCGTGTGGTGATCAGATGGCTTCTTTGATGGTGTCCCACCTGCGGGCTTCATCTCGGAAATAGTAAGAAGTTTCCTGGTGGTTCTTCCATTTCTTTTTAACTCTTCATCGTTGTACCTCGCTTTCGGTTAGGGTCATTTTGTCCTTTCTCTCATTGCTGTTTCCAGACCGTCCTCTTATGCCGCGTACTGTTGCCTCCTATCGTGTGGCGTTGGCGGAGCCGCAACAGCTTGCTTTCGGAATGGATGTTACTTGTGCACCGTTTCACAAGCTGTCTCGTGCGTTGTTTCACGTCCGGCCTGCTCATGCGCTGCCTGAGCCGTCCTGGTTTTTGGACAGAGTGCTCTCTTTTTTGTCTTCTCCTCAGTTTGTCGTGGCATCTGCGGTTCCAGAGGTGCCCTCTTGTTTTACCGGGCCTCGTTTTCCTGTTGGTGTTGGCTTATGGGGTCGGGTCGGGGAGCTTCTGGCTCTCCTCCAGTGAATGTGTTTTTCTGCTCGTTTAGTCCTGTTGGTACGTTTGTTTGCAGCCGTCTCTTTCTTTTCTGATGATGTTTGGGTCTGCTGTTTTCTAGTGGGGTCCTTGGGTTGTTAGGTTTGGCCTGTTGTGTTGTTTTTGAGTTAGGACGTGTGGTATCCACCTCCCGGGTCCTTCCCTCTTTTCCTTATCTTTGGTGAGGTAGCTCCGGGGAGCCAATGGGGCTCCCCCCAGAGAACCAGCATTGAATGTAATGAAACGCCATTTTCTGGGTTAGTCCCGGAGGCTCCCTGGCAACCCTCCCTCCCTCCAGTCGGCGGTTTTCACGTATTTTGATATCCAGCCTCAGAACTGGGGTGTGGATCACCGGCACAGGGGTCTGGGGGCTCCCTCCTCCCACTCCCAGGGAATGGGGAAGCTGCGCAGACATGCGGCACGGCTCGTGTGACATCTTGCTCTTTTTCATTTGGAGAGTTCTGTCTACTCGTTTGTCTATTTTCGTCGTTTTTAACCAAAGTAGGGGGTTTGTTTTGAGGCGCTTATCTTTCTGGGTGCCGGTCTCGGTCAATGACAGATATAGAACGCTCCAAATCACATTTGCATTTCTATAGGCTATTGCTCCTCGTACCTCTAAAGGGGCCAGGTTCTGGCTCGTGGTCCCCGGTAGGCCTAGAACTCCACCCACATCAACTGATGCCAAATTCTAAAGAGATACATATCAGCCTGGATAGCTCCAGGGAGCCTCCGAGACTCGCCCAGAAAATGGCGTGCTTTTCCTTCTCGGTCAGTAATTAGCTTCAGAGGTAATAGGGAGGTGAGCCAAACGAGTTTGAATAGGTTTCAAGAGATTTTTACCATTTGTTTACGTAGTTGTGTGGTTGTTCTTTTGGCAGTTCTCGAGGGTGCTATCTCTATCAGCAAATCATTTTTTTCTGGCTGCCTTTCTGGTTGTTTCCCCAGTGGTGGCATATATACATAAATGCTGCTCCTCCCTGTGCCGCAAGTGGGCCAGGTCTGGTGCTGGTCCCCGGTAGGCCAATAGAACTCCATGGCTGATGCAACCTAATAGATCTTACACTATCAGTGATAGCAGCTTTAGGGAGCCACCAGGGCACACACACACACACACACACACATTGCCATTTCGTTACATTCAGCGCAGGTTTTTTAATGTACAGTTTGTGTCACTAAAGAATAAAATTGTTAGAGGTAATTTTTAATATACATAACCTTATTCTTGTTTGTTCATTGATTGATTTTTTTTATGACTTTAATGTTAAAGTTCCTTCCATATTAATTACCAATATTTTCTCTTTCACTCTCTTTTTCTCTTTCTCTCTCTCTTTCTCTTCTCTCTCTCTCTTTCTCTTTCTCTATATTCTCTCTCTCTCTTTCTCTTTCTCTTTCTCTCTATATTCTCTCTCTCTCTCTTTCTCTTTCTCT